CTTTTAGGCTGGCCTAAATCTATATATTAATCCTTCACCACGAACAGGCATTCGACAAATTATATTTTTGTCCCGGTATCCTGTGGGCAAAACTGCCACTGAAAATAGTTCTGCCAGCCAAAAGAGCTCGCTTTCATGTTCCAAAATTGTTTTTAAAAATAGCAAAAACTGCTAAAATGTAAAAATAAAAATCTCTATATCAAATGAATCGCTATAAAATCCAAAATCTCTCTAAGTCAGTTATGTTATAATATATCAAACACTAATGACCGCCTCCCAGTTGACCGCATTTCCAAACGGCGAGAACAGAGTTGAAAATACGACGCGTAACGTACTTCGAGGTGTTTGGACATGTGGTCAAACATGGTTTTAAGGGTTTGACACATCTTCTCACCCGAAACTAAAACTAAGGGAAAACGAGAAAATAAAATCACAAATCCATGCTAATTGAGATCAGATATCGAAACACCGTCCAGGTCATGATTTCCTTTGTTTAAACTCTTGATGCATTATTAACGAGTTTGAGATTTAACCTTTAAAAAGCACCAAATTTTGCCTTCACTAAACAACTGAGAGACGCTCAAAGCTTTGGACATATTGCGGTGAAACCTCTTTTTATAATGTAGTTGCATTAAAAACGCCAAGTCACGTGACCACAGAGGAATAGAACACTGTCTCAGCAATAACATAATCAATACTATTTACACCGTTATTTATCTGTGTCGCTTTGCCTTTTTGAGTCGCTAAGGAGGCGGATTTGAATAGAAGCGAAGGTAAAAATATATTGCCTGTCGCTTTGTAAATATAAAGTATCGACTACTTCTCGAGCTTTCACTGCCATCACTATCATCCAGGGAGAAATTAGAGTTAATAGTTGACAACGATAATGAAAACTCGAGACGTAATCGGAGCTTTATATTTACAAAGCGGCAGACAATTAAAGATGATATATGAAATGTAAACTGCCGTCACTTCTTCTCAAATCTCATCTAAACGACTCAAGACACTCAGGGCACTCAACAAGACAGGAGAACACGGGTAAATGACATTATCTTTACTTTAAATGATTATGATAATGCTGAACAGTGTTCGGGTACCCAGTGACATGATCGAATAATTCATTAGAATGATTAATGTCATAAATTTGCTGCAATGTTTCATTGCATGGTTTATTGCACTTTAAAGAGACTATGATCTAGATCAAAATGGATTCGTTCTCAACAGACATACGTAAAAGCAAGCATGCGTTCCCTTAGCGTTATTTTTTTGCCTTGTTCGTTTCATTTTATGATGCTCACCGTTTCAAATCGAAAATTGTTTTCGAGAGTGGAGCGATTAACAAACAAAGCCCTATCATATAAATGTGAACAGTGAATCGAATACGAAGGCTTTTAAAAACGCTCACATCATTTTCAACACAAGTAATGCATAAATAACGGATATTGAGATTTCTCTTAGCGTATCAGCGTCTTACAGTGGAGACGTAAAGCTTAGGCTAAATTTTCGATTAGAGAACAATTCATTGCAAAACGTATCGCTTCGATGGGGCCCCAGTGAGCATGGTACCTTCGAAGCAAATTGTGTTCAAAGGCCTGTGCCAAAATAAAGACAGCACAGTCTAAAACCCGTCTTTGATGTAGCAGCGCACATTTTACTTCCTCCCGTGCTCTAGTCATATTTTTCAGTCTCAAAATATCAGAAACCGTATTAAAAAAAAAAAGAAAAAAAAAAAAGAAAAACATAAACCAAAAACAAAAAAGACAAAAGGACATGGAAAGATCGAGAAAGACTGTGAAGCGCGGGTCACCACAGAGCTTGGTCTAAATATATTTACAATATATCTCATTAATCCTCGAAGGCCCAGGGGCTGCTAGTCGGGAAGATACGATATTTTCGGGAGACGCGATATTTTCGGGTGAAAGTTTACATCAAGAGCGGGATGTAGACTATCGTCTGAAAGTATCGCATTGTCCCGATTAGTTGCCCCTGGGATTCCGAGGATGCATCTCATCTTGATTTCAAATAATTTCGTTCATGCAATGTATCTTTACTGGTATTGTCGGGTTGCCGTTAAAAGCAACAATCAAAACATTGATTATATAATTATATAATTGTTATTATTACTATTACTATAACTGTTACTGTTACTGTTACTGTTAATTACTTTTACTGTTACTGTTTCTATTACTATTTCTATTATCACCATCTTCTTCATCATCATCATCATCATCATCACCATCATCATCATCATTATTTTAAATTTCTAGCGCCAGTACATGGCAAATGGGGTTCATGGCAGCCATCAAGCTGGGCCCAAACTCAGTGCTCAAATGGGTACAAGACCCGGTATCGCAAATGTGATAGTCCTTCCCCAAAATGCGGGGGGCGTTCCTGCAGCGGAAGTAGTAATCAGAAGACAGAATGCAATGGATGTATCCCTGGCAACGGAGGATGTGACCAGATTTGTAAGAGCTATGGTGGTTCTTCTCGATGTAGCTGCTTTCCTGGTTATCATCTTTCAGGGAATCAAAAAAGTTGCGAACGTAAGTGACTCTGCCTTATTTGTTGTTATGTTTGTAATGGGCATATAGGTACAGTCTAACATCCAGTAAATATTCCTTGATCTGATAACAATAAACTTCATTCTTTAACTGTGCATAGGAGCGCACAACAACGAGAAAAATCTTTATATTCCTTTATTTTAAAATTACATGTTATTTGGCCCGCGGATAGCATGTCCTAATCTAGGCGTGCCATTAAACGTTTGTACCTATAACTAGATTAATTAAATTACAATAATAACAATTAATTCAAGATTAAATATGTAGTTAATACTTTTATCGTTTCTGCATATTAAGACACTATTAAAATAAAATCAGGGGAGAATAATGAGAGAGGACATTGATCCATGTAGTCACTTAAAAGATTTCAGTTTATGATTAATCCGGTGTATCAAAGAAAAGCATTTTCTTTCTGGAGCATACTTAGTAATTGATTTTTAGTTCTAACTTTGAAATACTTTTCTTGGTAGCTCTCTTATATTGCGTGGTATCTCGTTCAATAGTCTGCCACCGATTCTGGAGAATGAATTTTTGTGTAGTTTATGGAAAAGTTACTTGAGGTAGAGTAGCGGGTTTTGTAAGAATGGACGTCAGATATTTCCATAAATAAACTACGTAATTTAATTGGCGCTGAGGCAGTATTGACATCATTCATTAATTCCGACAAACGTCTATAATATAATGAGTGGACGTATGGGTAGAAGTTTAGTCTTAATAAATAACACTTAAAACGCAGGGCTCGTTTCTGTAACAATAATATTTTGTTTAGGCGAGACTTACAAGCCTGACCCAAAACAGATAATGCGTAGGTAACGTAGGGAGAAATTAAGGATTGGTAAATATTTGGCAGAGTGCGAAAGGGGCCAAAGTGTCGTATTTTCGAAATAATACCTATAGTTTTACTTCTTTTTAAAGCAACGTATTCAATAAGGTTCTTCCAAGAAAGATTGTAATCAAGTAACACTCCTAGGTACTTGACATAATATTTGCAGTCAAAAAGAACATTCATATTCTTCTCATTGTCAAATATACATATTTTTGGTTGAAAGGGTAGATTTGTTTCTGGTGGGGGCGAAACATGACAAAATTAGACTTTTTGATGATATGACTTAATTTATTTGAAGTGAGCCAAATATACAGCTTTTGTAGCGGAGCTTCAGTGCGCGAAGCGCGCCAGCGAAGCACCATGGGTAAACAAACAAGCTTAGTTTTCTGTCGTTTTTCGCCGTATACCGATAACCTCACGTCTTAAAGTAATAAAACTGTATTTGTAAATACTGCCAGGCGAGTTTTAAAGTTTTCTTTGTGTTAGTAAGGACAGCCGCTTTGTAGACTGCTATAATTTCTTCTTCTGTTTACCTTTGGAAGAAGGAAAACCATCGTTTGCTCTCCTTGACAGCTTTTGACGCTCGAATGTTGTCATGCATATTGCGTTTACAAATTATGGAGACTTCCTCGTTTTGGTTGTTTAATTTATTGGGTTTAGTGAAATGTTTGGCTGAATTTCTTTTAAGGTTATTGGTAAAAGACTGGTATAGTTATTAGTGTTTCACAAGTCAAGACGTGCAACACGCGACTCAAGATTACGATGTAATCCACGTCATATAAGATATGTTACAAAGAGAGGGAAGATGATCCGTACAGTAACCGAATACAGACAAGTCAGCTATAGTGGTACTGATTGAAAAGATTGAAGCAAATTAACCTATTGATTTCTCACCATGGTCACAGGTTTTCCCATCAGATTTCAGGGCAATACCCGTCGGACATGCGCACTGGTATCCTCCTGGCTTCAGAAGGCAGAAATCGCTACAGAGTCCATTGTTCTGAGAACAATTATGAGAACCTGACAAAAGTCAATCGAAATGAGTAATTTCCAGCAATAGATATTTTCAAATGTTTCGTATCTTGTGTATGTTATTTTTTTAATCAAAGTTCATCATGCACTATGACTATACATCTTGTGATTTACTGTTGCTTATTTCTTTTTTAAATATATTTTTTAACAAAATCGGACTGGCAAAGAACCATTCTTTGCGACAACAGAGTTCAATAAGTGTTTCACCATCTGATGACTGATATATTTTCCCAGAGTTGTTGTCGAGTGTTAGCGAGGAAGAGGAGCGTTGCTTAGCTTGTGTGATACTTGATAACTTTTGCATCCACAGATTAAATACAAAACTTGGTTTATTGCAGGACTGTACGACAATTCACGTACGGTATGATAAAAAATATATATATATAATAATAATAATAATAATAATAATAATAATAATAATCACAATCACAATCATAACCACAATCATCATCATCATCATCATCATCATCATCATCATCATCATCATAAATTAGGTACCTGAAAATATCAAGGTTGGATTAAATACGTGAATGTCCATCGGCTTCTGGAGGCCATTAACTACGATTTCCTGGTTCCCATTGCTTACGTTTACACGTGAAATACTCTTGGTGTTCCAATCTGTCCAGTATAGCATATCCTGATACACAGCCAGTCCGAAAGGATGGATATTAGCCCCAGATGACATTATTAACTGTCTGTTTCCTCCATTGAGGTCTGATACTTCAATTTGATCAAGTTTAGCATCAACCCAAAACAGTCGATTTGTTGGTTGATCGATAGTGAGCCCATTTGGCCAGCCGAGGTTTCCCGTTGCTATGGTTCGTCTCGCTGAACCATCCATCTCAGCCCGTTCAATCTTCGGATTAGCGCCCCAGTCTGTCCAGTACATTATGCTGAAAGCAACAACAAACACAAAAGGGTTTTAAAATTATTATCATGGACGGCTAGCCGATGCAAAGGTACCGGCAGCCATTCAGTTTAATTGCCTCTTTTTGTCAAGCCGCTGTTTAATTAACTGGGAATGCGCATTAACTCAAAGCTGTTAATTGCGATGCTATTTTATGCAGAAACCATACCACTTGCTCACTTAGATGCAAAAGCCACGTGCAAAGGTCACGGTTGCAATTCTAATCTTACTGTTTGTTGAGGGACGTTCCCATTTTAGTATGTCTCACTCTAAACCAACGAGGTGATAAGCTGCAGCTATGCTTGTAATATCGCTGATTTCCACAGTCAACATCATAAAATGACTAGCTATTAATACAACTATAATGAAAAATATCGTAGTCTTATACAGTAGTGAATGCATCTTACCCATTTCTCTCATCAAGTACTATGGCCCTTGGCTCATCAAGTCCATCTTTGATCAGCAGTTTCCTCCCAGTTCCATCAAGCAATCCTACTTCAATCCTATTGGCTCCTGTATCTGTCCAATAAATGTTTCTTCCCACGTAGTCAATAGCTAAGCCGTCTGGCGTCTCAACATTGCAGCGAAACAAATTCTTCACTGACGTGGCATTGAAAAACGCGCTGATGATTCGACCTTGAGCAATGTCCGACCAGTACACTCGATCTTCGACAGGGTCATAGTCCAATGCGATTGGGCGCTGGGTCCCAAGATGGTAAAACAAAGTCTGGGAGGCGAAATAGTTCGTGTCCAAGGAAACAAATTGGGTGGATTTGTCATCAGCGTCGGCAAAAAGAATAAACTTTTTGACTTCTGTAATAAAGATGAGAAGGATTTGGTCAGCTTTGCTACTCAAAAACGCAAAGGAAGTTGTGGGCTTTCTTTCATAAAAAGAAAATGTTGTTCTAGGCGTTTTGCGTTTTAGCTCCAAGGCTAGGCGCTATGACGCAACCCATTCCATTCCACTGTTGACAACACAATCGGAAGAGAGAAGATGACTTTTGGGGGAAATAAGTCCGTAATGATTGTGCGTAACTGGAGACTTGTAGTTAGAATCCATTTTAGTGTTGCTATTTAGTGAATGGAACTTTTTAAGTTACCGGTTCCTTATCGACCACATGTGTTTCGGTAAACACAAATTATAGTGTGTGTAACCAAGAAAAAGAAACGAAAAATTTTCACTAAAATACACCGAACATGTTCTGTCATATTTTGTTTAAACCATTGAACTTTATTCTTCGTCCGGAAGGATTTACTCTAGATCCCCTACGAGTTATTTTCTCGCGTTATATTGGCTCATAAACGGTTAAATTGAATGGGATCACGTCATAGCATGCATTGAGTCATAAAACTACTCATCTAATATTTTGGAATGCGACACACAAAGTCCTGCACATTACTCGCGCCTGTTCATACAAGGGAAACACTCGTTACCATTGTTCATGTCATTTGAGCATGTGACCTTTTAAACCAGCCATTATGCGATGTGCATGTAACTACTCGAAACAGCTCGATACCACCCTAGCTATTCAAAAGACAAATGACTTACTGTCTTCGCATGTCTTGCCATCTTGTTTCACAGCTATTCCAGTTGGGCAAACACATTCATAACCGGATGATTTTGTTACACAGAAATGGCTGCATCCTCCATTGTTTACAGCACAAGGATTAGAAGCTTTAAAAAAATACGTTAAAAATATTGTGAGACTACCGACAACAAAGACGGAGATATATATTACTACCATTGTTAGAAATATCAGACAAAATTGTCAGGTTTAGGCAGCGTCCACACAACGGCGGAAAAAAAGGAACCTGACAGCTTTATCTAGTTTTAGATTAGGCGTTTCGGAAATGCTCTTCAAACCGGAGGAATTTTAAAAGCTGTTCTCTGATGTGAACGGAAAACATTTTGGAAACGGAGCTTTACGAACGATAACGTCACTGACATCATGTCAACTGATTTCCTGACCGAGTTTTCCTCAAACACAAATTCAAATGACCGGTGATTGATGCGTTTTTACTTTCCTCCGGCGTAGTACGAGTGTGGACGAGTGCTGTAGTGTTAATATAAAAATTAAAGAGACCAAGCCACTATCTACAGCAGCGTAAAGTCGTTGGTGACAGCGTGAACACGTGACTTTGTTGGTTTCCTGTCCTAAAGAAACACAACATAAACATATATATTATGACCTTTTTAATTAATTAATTAATTTATCTTTTCATTTTTATTATTTTTTATTAGTTTTTGCACTTTTAAAGGCGGATTTAGAAATTACGGTATTCGCTTACCACTAAACGAAATTTAGGGGAAAAATATCAAAATTTTTAAATCAAATTTACAATTGGCTTTAGGTTGTCGGCCAAAGTTGCGAGGTTAATGGAAAGTAAGACGCAAGTCAAGCCGAAAAATTGTCACCCACGTTTGCATATACAGCCCTGGTCTGCAAAATCTGCCTTTAAATACCTGCAGGTTGCCGAGAAGCATCGTACGCTACAATGCCCATGGGTTGCCCGCCGTTGACACTGTACTTGCGGATTACTTTTCCAGTGGCAGCATCCAGCTGATGGATGTCTTCAGCTGTAAGCCAATCGGTAAAAAACAAGAAAGGTGGGATGAGTGCCAGTCCAAATGGATGCAAACCACTGAGTTGATAAAGCAGCTTCCTATTGCTGCCATTGTAATCGACGGACTCCACTCTATCATTTCCTGCATCCACCCAAAAGATACGCTTATTTCCTTTGTCAAGCTCAATACCATTAGGCCAGTTGAGATTAGCTGTCACGATGGCGTTTCTTTGGCTACCAATAAGCGAAGCTCTTTCGATTTTTTTATTGCTCCCCCAGTCAGTCCAGAACATTAAGCTGTCGTGATCAAAAAAAACAAAACAAAACAAAACAAAACAAAACAAAAAACAAAACAAAAACAAAAACAAAAAATATGCGTCATACTTATGTGATATACATGAATTCCCTGATGGGATGGTTAGATGTTTTGTCCGACCCTCTTTTAAAACAAAGTTATGTCGTAACGGTCTATATCAGGCGCTGCTAAATGCATTCATATAATTATAGCCTAATTAATGTAAACATTCTCGTAAAAACCTTGTGTACATTAAAGAAAGGCGTCTAAGGTCTTACTAACTATTCTCGAAAATAAACCGGCCGCCAAATGTCAAACGAAAAGTGTCTTTTAGAACTCAATTTGTATTTAACAAATAAAGAAGCCTCGACTGTTCTCTGTTCTGTTGTAAAGCACGCAGGAAGCGGTAGGGAACAAAAGTTGTGTAGAAGGAAACACGAGCGGTAGTCGAGTGTTTCTCCCTACTTCACGAGTGCTCTACCGCTTCCTAAGTGCTCTACAGCAGAACAAAGCACAGTCGAGGGTTCTTTATTAGTTTTATGATAAGCGTGCATCTGTTCTCTGATAAAGCAAGCTAAAATAAGCCAATCACTATCCTTGTTAGAAATGTTCAAATGATTTGATTGGCTAACGAAACAACAGCTGTTAATCATAAACTGAACTTCACTGAGCTAACCTTCNCTGATAAAGCAAGCTAAAATAAGCCAATCACTATCCTTGTTAGAAATGTTCAAATGATTTGATTGGCTAACGAAACAACAGCTGTTAATCATAAACTGAACTTCACTGAGCTAACCTTCAACGATTGGCTTTTGAGAGAAGAACGATCGTTTCAAAGGTTCGCTTTTTAGTTTATTATTATTATTATTATTATTATTATTATTATTTATTATTTTTTTTAATGAAGATCTGAATCTTTCTAGTCAAGAGGAATCAAGCCGCATTGTGTCTAATGAAAACGTGCACTTTTCCGATGGAAATTACAAAACAAGGAGCTTAAAGCTTGCGAATGAAAATGCGAAATCCTGAGTTGCATTTGAAAGGAGCTACAACGGATTGCAGCCGCTTGCAGCAAGATTGCCCGAACCAGCGTCAAAGTTGGAAAGACTAGACTGTTCCCACCGGTTTTACTCCGAGTCATTTCTTGGTTTTATCTTCAATGATTATCAATTACACGAATTTTCTTTAATATCCTTTCATTCAGCGATTTTTTCTTGAGAAATTTATGCTTTTTAAAAAAGCGAACGGCACTTGCTAAATGATTTGTGTATTTTGTTCGTGGAGATTCCCTTGTTTTGTTTGTTCAATTCATTCGATTTGGTTAAATGCCTATTGGTGAATTAAGGTTATTGTGTTGAGTATGAAAATGATTAGAATTTTTTGGTAGCTCTGCTTTTTAGGCTTGGCTAAGGCTCTATATTAATCAATGTCATTGTGAATACCTGTTATCTAGGTCCAGAGCTATTGCTCTGGGTTTCGCAAGGCCCGAAGAAATTAGAACACGTTGGTTATTGCCATCTAGGTCTGATACTGATATGGTATCTTTGGTCGTATCAGTCCAGTACAGCTGTGATGCCCTCCAGTCCACCGCCAGTCCATCGCAAACACCGATGCCTGTGATAATTGTTGTCGTGCTTGCAAAGCTAATGCGGAAACGTTTGATGTTTAAATCTGTTACATCACTCCAGAATATGTAACCCAAGCTGAAATGAACGTCTATAGCAACAGCTCTTGATAAACCTGAAACAACTGAACTTAGGGCGCCAGTGTTATAATCCATGGTGACAATATCTGATGTGTTTGCTACCAGCAAACATGGTGGACTGCACAAAGTGGCTAGGGACCAAAAAAAATGAACGAAAAGTGAATTACTAAAGTGTATCTGTGTGAGAAAAATAAAATTACTTGATATTGATATAGCTTGCAATTCAAAAAAGAAGACTAGGGATGAATCAAAACCGTTGAAGTCATCGTCCCCCCTCTTAAGGTAACTTCTCGTCAGGTAGATTTTAGCCCAAAACCAGCAGTTAAATGTCCTAATTGCCTATTTCCAGGCAAATCCCTTGTTTCGAGTATACCAGACTAACATTTCCTTGCACTTTGGGTTAGATGATTTCAAAAAAGCAAATTGAGTTTTTATTCTTAATTCGTGCGGAGCGCATCATGATGTAAGTCGTTTACCCCAAGTCGATTCAGTTTCTTTGCGGGTTCCCTAGCCCTCCTCCTCCCCCCCCNCCCAGCCCCCTTCTCCCCTGCCCCGTCATAAAATTTTCACTCTCTACCGTGCATCATCGAGTAAGCACATCGTATAGGTTTCGCATCCAATTGGGTTTACCCCTGGGAGTAGCAATTTACATCTATTACATATCTAAAAGGCACTCACACCTCATGAGCTTACACGCATCACCAAGGTGAACTAAAAAAAAGACTAGAAGCAATGCAGCCACATAACTAAACCGAAACCCCGCTATTCTCCCACCAAAAACCGAAAAACCGAATCGCAAACAAGAAAAAAAATGAAAAGAAAAAATCGTTAAAAAAGCAACAGATATCAAGTATTTTAAGTGCAAAAACCGTAAAATAATAATAATAAAAAAACGACCCATAAACCGACAACACCCAGTCTTATAGGGCACGCTTGAAATTCGTAGCTTTTACTTTGCGTATATTAATATGGAGCCAAGAGGCTGTTAGGTAGGTCAGGAGATGTCTTAATTTTAAATGTTTTGCTAACTGAAGAGTTCTTGAATTAGGCAAAGTAATAATAGTTTCAATGTTTCGGTGTTCTAGAGAAATACATTCCTGTTCTCATAGCAAAATTTTAAAGACAGCTTTATAATTTGTTTGGGTAAAACAGAGTGAAAGCTTTTCTCTGAACATAAACGCGCGTACTAGTCTACTACTGGATGTATGGAAAAAAAAAAAAAACCGAAAAAAAAAATGCACAAACCTTATTAGTAAATATTGCCAATTGAGCTTGTTTACACATCAATCATCAACCCACATTTTTTACTTTATCTATTGAATGGTTACGACCTTTTTCGTTTTTACTTTTGATGGTAAGACAGTGAAAACCAGCAAGAAGGATCGTCATGCTCAGTTACATGCTCTCGAACAAAGAACAAAGAAAAATAAACAAAACATAACGTGTGCATGCTTTACATAACAAATTATAAATAAACCGACAGGTTGGGGGCTTAACTTGCGTGAATCGTGCATTAGAGTGGCCTGTGTTGCAGACAGAAATTTAACCCAGTAAATGCTCTTGGAAGTTAGCAGAGAAATGGCAAAAATTAGTGGCACCATAGCTACTATAGTTTTACCTGCACAAACGTTAAGACTTTGCCCATAAATCAGCGCCAAGAAGAGCAGCAGACGAATCGACCATCGGATGACACTCATGGTTACCGGAAATAGTCTAGTCCCTGCTTGAGATAATAATAAAAATAATAATAATGAAAACGAGAAACAATGTTAACAAACGACTGACAATGCCAATAGTGCACAGCCATTAATTTGACTCAAAAATATAAGTCTTACCAAATAGAAACGCAACCCAAACAGCGTTTTGCAAGAATCGCGGCCGAAGGACAAACACAATACTTGACTTGTGTCGTAATCGCGCTAGATCCGCAGGTCACTCAGTTCGAGAGTCTGGTTATGTCCGATGATGTTCTAAACGTCTTCTACAATCGCAAGACGAAACGTTTGCGACTAGTGCAGAAAAAAAACAATGATTAAACAAAGAAACGACTAACTTAAATGACACGCACAGCTTTTCGTTAATAGTCAAATGTCATATACGCGAAGACTGGTGTACAGAGTTTCGCGCATGCGAAGCTGTGTCATTTCAGGGACTTCCCCTTTTCTTTGGTTTTCATGTATTTAGAGATAATGAAAGATTGATCTGAAAGTCGATGTCAGTTTCATCTACTTCGTCACATCACTTCTTCCACAAAGAGAGAAACGTAAAGAACAGACAAATCCCGGAAATATGTCGTAGGATTAAGAAAGAAATGAATTAAATTTCGAGAAAAGCGTGCCAGGCACCAGAAACCCCCTCCCCTAGGGGGGATGGGAAAACTACCTTATAAAAGAGAGGGGGTGCCCGTAGAAAATTTTCAGAAGAACCTCTTGAAGGCGCCAAAGACTCGTTTTGTGAACGTTGCCTTAATTCACTTTCACTGCAAACAGCACATTTACGAGCACCTTCCTTCCCCCCTCAGTAGCCAAAATCGTGCTTGTGGCCATCAATGAGACCCCAAGTTGACCCCGTTTCAACCATGAAGCCAAATAAAGCGAAAAGGAAACACAAACAAACTAGCAGACAAGCGATATTGTTCTCACTTTATGCCTGCAAATAAACTAAAGGTTAGGGGTTAGTTCAATGCAGTGTAAATGGCACGCGGTAAATAAACGAGAAGTTATTCTTCTTGTATAGAAGCTACTTTTGAAATAGTCTGATGTCCTCTAGACTGTTGATTTGTTTTAAGCCATTGTATTAAGCTGTGCATGCATAAAAGTTGTTCGCATCCCCGACAATGAAGTATTTCTGCTACTCGAAGTAATTGCATATCATGCTGAGACCGAGACCTGCTGTCGGTAAATTAAAGGTAAGTAGAATATAAATGTCACTCAGAAACTGGTTTCAGTGGCGGATCCTGACACAACCTGACGTTTTACGGCGAATATATCTTTATGCGATTGAGAAAATAGCTTCGATAATCCCGTGGGCAACAGCGCGATAAACATGCTGTATTCCCTCGATCGTAAAGCAATTGAGACGCAGCGTGAGTTAAAAGTAAGACTTGAACGATTTGAAAACATTTTGTTCGACTTCCCCTCCGTTTGATTCCGTTAAAATACTAATTTGACCCACGGCCGTTTTTAACTTGTTGAATTTTCTTAATTAACACCAGACGTTGTTTCGGCGGATTGTGTGCTCTCTCATCGTTATAAACAGAATCTTTGCCTTTAAGTATTTTCTCTGGGGCAGTGCACCCCACTGAATAATTGGTCAGTTATTTTAACGCTGAAAATCATCTGGTCCATTATATTGCAAAATGCACATTTCTGTTCTCTGGGATGGAGAGTAGCAGGGTGCATATCTAAACTGTAACTTCTCCAGAGGCACTAGAATTTCGCTATCAAGACTGGTTTTAAAACAGGTTTGAATGCGTTACTGTGGACTTTCAATGGGTCGCAATGAACAGAGGATACCAACTAGGAAGGACACCTTTTTTAGGATGAATAGACGCAATTACAGTTCTCAATTTGGAAAGTTTCTGTTGCGTGACGGCGAAAGTTAATTGTAAGGAAATACTGAAAGACAGACAAGAAGTTGTTTTGCGAGCTATACACTAGTAAATTGTTTGTACCTTGCAGTTGTTTCGGGCTGATCACGTGCACAGCACCTGATTACTGATTTAGTTTGAAGTATTCGTAACCTTAAGCTACTGTCATTTTGCAATGCAAATTAATAAACCTTAGGAGCTTTCTCAGAAAAACGTAATTATAACTGGTTTCTTGGTTACAACAGCCACATCAAACCAAATTTGTGTCCTATCTATTCCATCTATGTTTAGACTTAACGTTTTTATATAATAGTAAACACGCATTGTACTACTATATATTGTATAATGTATACTCACAACGTTTGAAAACGCAGTTTATAGCTCTATCCAGATCGAAAGCACTTTGACATTAATGACAAACATCTACTTTCACGCATACTTAAAAATAGCCCCGTTTAAGCGGGGGTTTCCCTTTTCAGAACAAAGAACCAATCCGAATGCTCCAAGCAAATGAATCTTAACCGACTGCGTTGCTATTTCTTCCAGCCTTTCAAGCTTTCTGTGGCTTCGGTAATATGGATTCTTTCCTCATTTTAGTATTAGCCCTTAGTGCCAGCCAATATGGCGTCGATGCTTGCGGAGGCTGCGGTCCTTGTAAGTATTCTTGTTAATCTTTCCTTTGATTATTTACTGAACCGATGTGCTTGAAGTAATTTATTGCTTCCATAAGCACAATTTCTCGTCCGGTGTTTTTAACGGAATAAAAGCCCTATGTCGATGAAACGTACTTTAACGTTAAGCTGTACTGTAGTATCACCTCCCGTTTGAACTATCTATTGTTATTTGTTCTCCATGAAACATGTAGCTGGGAAACAGGCCCGGTTTTGGCTATGGATCAGAAGAGTTATAAAATAAGTTGGGGTAAAAAATATATTTCTGTGGTCAGGATATATTACCTGGTTCATCCGGATCCGCTTTTGCAACTCGATGCTGGTAGATCATTAACCCAGTGTTACCTTGTCATAAGCTATATGAAGACAGTGTATGTCATTAAACAGAATTCCTTTCAATCCGTCGTTGCTCTGCGTTCGCAAAAACATCTGGCGAGTCATAAGGAAATTTCACAATAGACACAAGCCCGGGGCAATTCGTTCACTGATGATCGATGATACACAAAATGCTGAATTCACCTTCAACAGTGCTTTATTTTGGCTACGAAGGTTTCCTACGCGTTTAGAAGATTATTTGTAGTTTTAAAAAATTAATGAGGAGACCATAGGTGATAATTTGCGAAGACCCAATCGAAATTCCGGTCTTTCTGGGAAATCTAAATTTGTTTCACTTCCTCGTCACAAAATGGAATTGTTTGTGTCAACGTTGCTCATAGAAACTCAAGCTGTCTTTTATTAGAAGGACACTGAACAAAATAATGCTCGCCACGTATCAGTCAGATGTGTGAGAAATTGATCTTTTTTTAGGAGTGTAAGAAACAAACACGTTAGATATGAAACCTCAGTGCATTCGACCAACGCATAGATAAGATCTATTCAGCAAATAAAGAAAGGGACAAATCCCGTCAGAAGGGACAAAACCCTGTTTCATGAAAGGGTCTTTGTGTCGTGTGGCACGCCTTCATAAACAAATTTAGCGTGAAAACCGTACGTAAGTTTCTAACTTTAGCAAGTCGCAATCGACCTTGTCCGCAATCTAACCATTTTGCTTGCCTTACTATGAGCTCTTTGGCGTTTTTCTTTGCTTATTTTAAGGTATTGTTTTGAATTCTTTCAATCTGCAGTATTATTTTGCATACAGCTAGCGTGACAGCGTTATGTTTGGAAATTTTGGTCGTCCCATCTCATAAGTGCAGTTTAATCAAATGATGTTCAGTAGAAACGTTGCAGTATCACTGAAGTAAACAAATCACTT